AGGTGCTGGCCTCTGCATAATCTACTGTACCTACCACTGCTATCTTTACTGTCGCTTTGCTAGACACTGATGTATCAGAGATGGAGATTTTTTTTTCTTGTGAACCAAACTGCTCTCCTCAGCTTCCACCATTAGTTTATTGTTACCAAAATCTAATGCATTGATGGATGTGCTTGCAAGGTTGACACAAGCCGAGTCGACACTGGCAGAGAGTCCGGATCCTGATCATGGTTCAGAAACAGAACAAAATAGCTTGAAAAATGCATGTAGTCTCCAGATGACTCTTGTAGACATCTTCGAGGCTCTTTAAATCAGCAACACTTACCTCTTTTCTAAACTTCTACTGAGCTGTGCATTGCTAAGACAGTCTAGTATGTCATATTGGAAATCATGTATTCAGTACTATGTCACTCATGCAGTTTCTGATTTACAGACTCAAGGCCCCTAACCCTACAACACTGTGCCTGCTAAGGCAGTTGATGTGTAACAGTGCATGCGCTTGTGCTCATCTGATCCAACACCTAAGATCAGCATTGCAGAGGGTAAGTCATTGGTTCATGTAGAACATTCTAAACTAAATAGTGTGCAGGGATGAATCTTATACTGGCTGATACTTGCCAATCACATTCCATAACCCAATTATACCCTCACAATGCATGCCAACCACCTTACCACTTATGAATCATCTTGGCCGCCATCTACAATTATATATACATACATGACCGACCCACATATTTACATGAGGGAGCTTGCAATGATTAATGGAGATGGAGATGCATTGGCAATGTGCAGGGTAAGCTATCACATTATTGAAAAACTATAAACTGACAAAGTGTGCAGGGATGCATCTTAGACAAGCTTATCCTGATACCAACACCAATCCCATCTCTGATCATACCATCACAAATTAAGCCAAAAATGTATACAAGACTATTGGCATCAGGATGTATCCAGTGAATACACGCTGAAATTGTGACAATGTTGCATAAAACTTACTACCTCATAGTTCTAAGCATTTTATGATTCATGGACATCTGCATTGATCTCGAAACATGTCAAAAGCTAGTATGCGGGAAGTGGTTGTGCACTATGTATCTGGCACGTGCTCAGGTTCATCTTTGTCAGGTTCTTCAATATATTTGTCAGCTAAATGGTCAAGAATTTTGTTGTCTTTACCAGTGACACTGGTCACCATGATATGCTCATTGCTGTGCAGATGATAAGGGATAATGCAGAACACCATGTAGCGCAGTTTGGAGATGGTGTCATCCAACTCAGTGTAGAGACCCACATCTCTGTAGCCTTATAGAGGTCTAATCCTCCAATGCTCTAATTACTTCCCTAACGATGTGCTGTCTTCTTAGATAGATGATCTATAGATAAACACCTATAAAATCAAAAATCTCCATGGTCAGCGATTCAGACAAATACCAATGACTGATAACGTGGTTGTTTGTGGGTGGCTGTTTACACTTCCCCAAGCTATGTTCAGACAAAAGTACTTCCTGTGAGGTCAGTAGCAATACCAGTCAATCCAACAGTATGGATGCAATAGAAAATAAAATAAACAGAATGTAGTCAGCCCAACGGTATGGTGATGACAAAAAGAAATTGATTCACTCCAACGGTATGGCAGTGTTTAGAGAACAGAGAAAAGTCAGCCCAACAGTATGGTACTGATAAAAAAAAGAAATAGATTGATAAGGGAAACCCTTCCTTCAGTAACAATGCTTCTCGTAATAAATTTACTACAGAAAGTCGTGCAAAATTATAGCAATCACCCCCTCAGCACAAACAGGTAGAATCAAAGGTCAGGACTAATCAGTGATCAGTAGAACTCTTAGTTCACTATTGAACCTGCTGCCAAGGAACTCACGATGAGGATTAAACAGAATCAGGAACAGATGTCCTTGGATTTCAGTACCAAGTCCCCTATTCAACAACTAAAGTCTAGCAGACAAAGAAAACCCTGGCTCAGTATCACTACTCATATGAGTGAGGTCAAGCGTCACTATCAACTTCTGAAGTCTTCCCACTAAGCCAGTGCTTAGATGAACGTAAAGACAACACAAAGATCTTGAAACAAATTCAGACAATAACACTAAGACGTGAATGAACTGAACAGAAAAAGAGACAAATGAAAAGAAAGAAACAAAGAAAGAAACAGAAAAAGAAAGAGAGAAAGAAGAAAGAAAAGAAAAGAAAGAGACTAGAGGTTCACCAGTAGAAAATCAAAGAAAAAGTTTTTGCTCACTGTTGAGCACAGTGAGCTCAAGATATTTCACAGTTGTTGACGATGAGCTAAAGGTATTGCTGGATGTTGCTTACAATGACCTCTCAGTTAGTTGCTTAACAGCTCTTGTCACTGTTGTTGATACTGATCACACTTCACACTCAAATTTATTTTGTGGGGCTTAAAAGTTCCCTATATGCATATTTTTATTGGCAAAAAGTGGGGTCTTATATAGATAAATTAGGGTGGCTGTGCTACTATTTCCCACGTTCTAAGGGAAATAGGCTTAGTCAGATTGTACCAATACTATTTACTGTAGTCATGTGCTTTATAATTTGTGTCATCAAGCTTTAGTCATCTCAAAAGGTTGCTTTGTCATGATTTGGTTTAGGATCATAGGTCACCTGACTGTTAGAGTCGTATAACTTAGTATCATGTGACAAATATTAAGTAACAGACTGATTATGTTATTTGTTGGTGTCTTGTTATGATGTTACTTTATTGACTGTAGAAATGACGCGAGCCGTGTATTTAGAGTGTTAAGAAAGTTCCCACAAGGCAACTTATGCAAGAACTATTTTACACTGTTACTTGACATGTGTGGGATTCAGTCTGAGTCATTGTTATTGCTGACTAAGCAGAATTTACCGCAAAATTAAATATACAAGAATATTCAGCCTATCTGAGTCTGTCTGAGAAATAAAAATACTATCTGAACTGCAGTCTGAACCATAAAGTAAAGGAAGATTGTTCATAATGATTTCTAGGGTATCAGGCTCGTGGGAGAGCATTAGTCATCCATGCACCAAACCGGTTTGGTGCAGGTCAGCGCGACTCATATCTTGTCCTCACACACCTGGCGCTCTGTTGGCCACTCACGTGCATTAGCACTTTTTGGTCGTGCATCCTTGGTTCCATCACTCATCCTCCGTCCATCCATCCCATGTCTGTTTGGTTCATTGATATGTATTCCTATCATATCTCTGTATTCTGACATATTCCCAGCGCTTGCGCACACATTCTGTATGTTATGTTATAGACCCTTATTACATGTTATCATGTACTTGCTTCGCTTTTCGGCCTGCTTGAGCGCTTGACAGTGCTTAGTGCTACTTAGATAGATATATATATTCCTGACTCTCTGAACAAAGGATTATCTTTTTCTGCCCACACACCTTTGGACTCTAAGTCTAAATCTCCATTGTAGCTGCTGACCAACACCAAGCACCTGAACACACATGAGCACCAGCCTTCCTATTTTCAATAAGCCATCATCTTATTTGACCTCCAGCTGATTAGAGTCGCTGCGTTCCACCACCTGCATGCACACCTTGTACTCACTCAGCATGCGTTATTGTGCTTCATAGCACTTTCATTTTCTATGCTTTGCTCATCATTGCATGTCTTATCAGGCTTAACTACACACCTGGTCCAGTGTTTTCCCTCCATTATAAACATAGAGGAACCTTCTCAGTAGCAATCCCCTTGGGCCAACATTAGCTTGCACACAGAGGACCCTCTGAGTATATCTCACACCACCCATTTTCCTACCCTTCACATTCCTCGCCTACATTAGCCAGCAGATATGAGCCTCCTCTCATACATGGTCCAAGAGAGACAGATTTTGACTCTGGTGACAACTTGACTAAGACCAATGAAAATAAATGTCTGAGGTGCTGTCCATGAGCAAATATTCAAGGCATGTTCTTATGGAAAAAATGCGACACTCAACAGGTTTGAAACCTGTTGCACTCCAATAGAAACAGATTTTGATTCTGTCAGGACAACCACTTGGCTAAAACACAACTCTGATGAGCTTGTAAGCAGATTGCAAATCGACCATGAGCATGTGTCAAGGTGCGGTTTTATAAAAAATGAATTTTATCATTGGCAGGTTTTAAACCTGCACATTCCAAGAGAAACATATTTTGACTCTGATAATTACTGGCAATTTCATCTTTAGCAGGTTTTGATCCCACACACACATAGGTTTGAAACAGATTTGGATTCTGTTATAGCAACTGTTTGACTAGCACCAGTTAGATCCATCTTTAAAGAAAATGTTCAGAAGTGAATCTGCAAGACAAGTCTACAGTTCCCTGTCACTCACAATATTTTCCCTCAGCTGAACAGATGAATTGAATACAGACTGCAATACAGCACTTTCAAAAAGTGAGAGGAGAGCAACATGATGATGAAAGGTCTCAAATACAGTACACTTCAACCTTATACATAAGTGAATAATGGCCGGATGGCTCTTTTGAATCTCAGCCTTGACAGATGTCGGAAATTTCCTACCGTGATTGTAATAGCAGGTCATTAAAATAAATATAATATTAAAATTGTAATGGTACCTCACATCATTGCAAGGTATCGTAATGCTTTGTACAAGTTTGTCAAGCAATTGTGACACTGATTCAGATGTGACCAATATAGATTAAACTCGCCGTTGTTGTTTCTCATTTGTGAGTTGGTCGAACGGATCAGTAAGTATTACGCCTTAAAGAGCTGCTTCCGGTACTCATGAATTAAACTATTAATACAGGGACCAACATGGCAGAGGTGGCCCAATGCGACCTCTGTAGTAAATCTTTCAAGCTGCGTGGTTTTAAGACACATTGCACCGCCTGTGCAAAACATGCAAGGGACTTTGAGGAGGACCGGAATCACATTGTGAACACTTATCACCGACCTTCAGGTGCGTTCATTCTCATTCAGTCTTAATAAGATCCCTGGACATATTAATGTACACTCAACTATAGTAAATATGCCAATCGATGCACACCATGGAGCCAACGAGTCGAATCAGCCTGAGGCAGAGAGTTTGAATGCGCACATTTCAGATGAGCCAGTCACAGATGTTGACCAGTGGATGGATCTTGAGGAGGAAGGTGAGCCAAAAAATACCATCCTTATCTTTGACATTATAACTAGCCACCATTTGATAGATATTTATCGCATACCTTCATCATATGAGCCATCTGTAGATGGCTCAGAACATCAACACAATGTTGACGACATTCGGACCGAGTATCACCCTAACTCTGGAATCCCAGCACAGACACGAACATTCTCGACGTTTCAGCGCGACCTTTTGCAAGACCCACCAACTCCTGATGCACAACCTTGGGCACCATTTCGATGTCGGCTGGACTTTGAGGTAGCTGAACTTGCTCATGAAGCCGCCCTCAGCCAGCCTCAAATTGAGTGGCTAATCAACCTTTTGCATCACTCAAAGCAGGAGCCTTTCAGCCTGTGCAACTACAAAGATATTCGGAACATGTGGAATGCTATTTCCCATCATCTAACACCAGTAAGGTCATCTCTATGTTTCATTTTAACTTGTCTGACAAGCGTGTTTTGATAGTTTCAAAAGCGAATGATTTGAGTGCCTTACGATGGAGTTAATCAAGAATTCACTCTCTACTACTGGGACTTATGGGACTGGGCGTGTGACCTTCTTTGGGATCCTTATCTTGGCCCTCAATTTACCTTTGATGCTCAACACCTGTCAAAGTTTGACGGTAATACATTTGTGAGATTTATTGATGAGCCTTGGACTGCGGATACTTTTTGGGAGGCTCAGGTATGTGTCGAGCAGTGCACCATTAGTTGAAGCAACTCATTGACGTGTAATACATCCAGTTGGCTATGCCTAGCCATGCAAAGCCTCTCGCATTCATCCTCTATGCAGATAAGACAAAGTTGTCTTCCTTTGGTCGTGAAAAAGGCTACCCTGTGATTGCCCGTATTGCAAACCTCCCCGCATCCATCCGAAATGGTGAAGGCGTTGGTGGCGGTCGAGTTGTCGCCTGGCTCCCCATTGTATTGTGACTCCATCTCATCTAATTTTTGTTTAACTAACATTGATTTTTTCAAGGTCAAAGATGATCCCTCGAGGTCGGGAAAACAGAAATTTGCGGATTTCAAAGCTGCGGTTTGGCACGAGTCCTTCAAGCGAATACTCAAGTGTCTTACATCAAAGAGGAAACATGGTGGATGGGTGGAGTGTTGGGATAAACTTCAACGCCTTATGTTCCCTATTGTTCCAATCTTGTCTGCGGACTACAAGGAACAGTGTGTACAGTCTGGAGTGTCATCTATCATTGTTGCTAACATGTAATGTCTACAGATGCATTATGTCCCTGATCCATGGAGTCATGGGCAAATTTCCATGTCCAATTTGTTTGGTTCCGCATGCCAAGTTGCATAACCTGTTGGAGACCTGGCCACTTTGCACATGTCACGATGCTGTTCGCTTGCTCAGGAAGGCAAGAAGGAAGTACACCAAGGCAAAGCGAGAGAAGAAGCTGAAGTCTCAGTCATTGAGAGATGTCAAAGTAAGTATTATTTGAATCCCATATCTCTGGAATCAAGTTCACAGCGTGACTCAACAGAACTCTCTCAATCTATCAAAGCTTCTGGACGTCTTTTGTGCCCTTTGTTTCGACCGCCTACATACTCACCATGAAGGACTGTGGGGAAAACACTTGTGGATCGAGCTGCAAAAATGCGTCAATGAAGTTGGTAGACACGCTGCGACTAAAATTGATGAAGGGTCTGTTTTTTCGTTTCATTGTAGACATCTATTATAATCATTCCTCAGGTTTGCGGCAGTGCCAAGGTGGAGGAATCTCAACCACTTCAAGGAGGTCATGGGAGTTAGCTTCACTGATGGGACAAAGCATGAAGACATATTAAAGGTGATCGACTCGGACACTCTTGAGATCTCAATTCTAATTGATGTCCCTTTACATGTAGTTGATTCTGTTTGTTGCCCATGACATACTTAATCCTGAAACACATGAGTCTGGATATCTGCTCCTTCAATGTATTCGAGCCCATTTAGATGTAGACATGTTCGCAGCTCTCGAGGTTCACACCACACAGACCCTTGCTGCCGGTTGAGCTGCTCTTGACGAGTTTTCAAGACTCATGGACGTAAGTTGTGCTTCACTGGCATGCTAGCGCTATCTGAATCAAATGGCTGATGGATTCTCCATAGAAATATATTTCCGAGTCTGAATGTGAATCAAAGAGTTGGGATTCTCCCAAGTATCACTTGGGCATTCACCTTTTTGACGATATCAAGGCCAAAGGCGTTACTCGGAATTTCAACACCAAACCAAATGAGAAAGCGCATAGACCTTTGAAAAAATCTTACCAGCTCTGAACAAATTTCAAACAAGTAGCAGACCAGGTTGGGCATCTTCTACTGCGTCTGAACTTGCATTGATTACTGTGAATACTAGATCTTACGTGCGGACCATTGGAGCCTTGTATCTGCATGGATTCGCTATCGCATCAACGACCTTGATGACTATAATGCAAGAAAAGAAGTGAGTGATCTCGATGATTCAGATTCAGATGATGCAGTTCTGAATGCACCTGGACCAGAGTCCAGCTTTCATATCAAGCTTGGTTCATGTCAGCGTGTATTGTCGATACATGCCATTCAGCAAGCACACCTTGAAGACCTGGCATTTCATCAGTTTCATACCAAACTTAACCACTTTCTCAACATGATACCTGTCATTGCACGAAATGGACATGTTGCACTTGAATTAAGTGCCAATATAGTGAGATTTTCGTTCGTATTGATAAGCCAGCTACAGTGCTAATACTTTGATTTGTGCCGCACATGCAGGTAACAGAATTCCGATACTTGAAAGCAAACTTCGAGTCGATGGTTGATTTTCGGATATCAACAGACTACCTCTGCTGCTCCCCGATGTTTCACAATGCCCCAAGATATGACTCCATCATCATCAGGACTCAAGATGGGATCATCTTTGGTCGCTTGATATTCATATTCACGTGCTTAGTTGAAGGTACAAGTCATTCCATGGCTCTTATTCAACCTTATGATGCCCCCATTCAAAATCGACCTTTGAAGGACAGGCTCCTGGGGTTGTGGCGAGTTAGAGCTCAACCTCGGCATAAGAGTGAGTTTATTTTCACTGAATCAATTATCAGGGGGGTGCTGTTGCTTGAGGATCGCTCTCAGCCTGGTGACTTCCTTGTTGTTGATTCAACTGACACTGATATGTTCCTTCACATGAAACTTCACAAGGACTCCCATGTATACTAATTACGCCAGTGTTATCTTAATCACTCTCTTATGTCATCATATACTTGACAATTCATATGCATGATCTCACATTGCAAGGTTATGGTTAGTTCTAGTGAGACCTCCTGCTTCCTAACATGCCAGGTGCGCTAAAGATTCAGAAGCTGATGAGCAATTAAACTATCAGGTGAGTGCTCTGTTCATAACTGGGAAGCTTACCTGCTTTTTGTTAGTGTTAATATGACAGGTGCATTGGAGAAGCTCATGAGCGCTCCATTCATGAGTATGGGTAACTGTCTGGTGAGTCTTACTCTATTCACGATTATGGACTGAAAAGCTTACTTACCTGCTTCTTATAGTACCAGGTGTGTTGGAGAAGCTCATGAGCGCTCCGTTCATGATTATGGACTGGAAAGCTTACTTACCTGTTTCTTATAGTACCAGGTGCATTGGAGAAGCTCATAAGCGCTCCATTCATGATTATGGACTGGAAAGCTTACTTACCTGCTTCTTACAGTACCAGGTGCATTGGAGAAGCTCATGAGCGCTCCGTTCATGATTATGGGTAACAGTCTGGTGAGTGCTCTATTCATGATTATGGACTGAAAAGCTTGCTTACCTACTTCTGATAGTACCAGGTGCGTTGGAGAAGCTCATAAGCGCTCCGTTCATGATTATGGGTAACCGCCTGGTGAGTAATACTCTATTCATGATTATGGACTGACAAGCTTACTTACCTACTTCTGATAGCACCAGGTGCATTGGAGAAGCACATAAGTGCTCTGTTCATAATTATGGGTAACCGTCTGGTGAGTACTCTATTCATGATCATGGACTGGGAAGCTTGCTTACCTACTTCTGATAGTATCAGGTGCATTGGAGAAGCTCATGAGCGCTCCATTCATGATTATGGGTCACCCAATCTTGTGAATGACCGTCTGGTAAGTACTCTATGGTTATGGATTGGAAAGCTTGCTTACTTGCTTCTTATTGTACCACCAGGTGCATTGGAGAAGCTCATAGGCACTCCGTTCATGATTATGGGTTGGAGAAGCTCATGAGCGCTCCATTCATGATTATGGGTTGGAGAAGCTCACGAGTGCTCCATTCATGATTATGAGTTGGAGAAGCTCAAGAGCGCTCCATTCATGATTATATTAGGTCACCATCTAGTGAGTATTCTATTCATGGTTAACCTAACTTCTCAATCAGACGTTCCGCTGATTATCACTAGTATGTGAGCCAGTTCAGCAGTGCAAATTCCAAAAGGTGACGAAATCTGGTAACATTGATGTAAACATGTCTCATATTATATTACATAGTGCAATTAAATCCACGTCAAGTCAAGTGCTGGCAACTGTGAGGCGATTGGTCAAGTGCCGCACTTTTTCTGATCCTCATTGTTACCATCACGCTTTCATCATGGCCCACGTAATTGAGCACTCGAGTAAGTCCTGGCCATGCATCATTGTGACACATTATTTGATTGCTTGTTAGCCCACTTCGGAGTTTGGATCACAGTATATTAACCCTCACACAATTCAATCCTCTGTCGACCATTCCTCTGTGTCTTCCCTCTGTTACAGGCATCCGTAACACCTACAGGAGCCCCTGCTCTGTCTGCACCAGCCCCCGCTCTGCTAGACTCCCCACGCGGCGGTGCGCCACCTGCACTTAGAAAGACAGCGGTCTGGACCGCTATGACCCTGCCCCTGGTGCTATGACCCCGCCCCTGGCCTAGATGGCCTTGTACCTGATCCATGGAGGCTGTATGCCTCATGGTCGCCCTAGATCAGCGCATGTATACAGCATGTCGCTTCATGAAGATCCGGAGCGCTCTTGGCGCTTCCTGTACCTAGCGCAGTCGCACTTGGCGCTGCATGCTTGATCAGAGGTTAAGCCTCATGTACCCTTATCTGACCTCATGTCTTGTTATCATAGATCCTAGATATACTATAGATTGCAGACTGAGCTAGAATACTTACATGTAGCACATATAAGTAGACAGATTATTGTACTTAGACTTTACTTTAATCTACTAGGTTCATCCCAGAACTTGTTCAGCTAAGCCTCCCAGCTCAGCTGCCTAAGACCGCACTTCTAAGTCGCTCCCCGCTTCTTAGCCATATCCGCTAGTCCTGTATCTCGACGAGCGCCATCTTACCGAGATCACCAGAGGAACCCTTGACGTTCCGTCAAGCCGAGAACCACCCTCAGCTTCAGTAGACTCACTCGAGTCGTCGCTGAGAAGACCTATCCTAGTTCGCACACGTTGACCGACGACGGTCAGCGTAACACCCTCAGCTTGATCTGCATCAACATTACAGTCGAAATTCCATCGTGTCCTCTTATTCAAGATGAACGTGGCACATAGTCATCGGTCCGATGATTCAGACTCTGAAATTGCAGCATCGCAACATCATGTTTCTGATCCTTCTATTTCTAATCCTCACCCTGCAGCAGGTACAATGAGTCATCGTACATCTGCTCATGACAGATCTCGCATTAGTACAGTGAGTTAGATATATTGGTACAGCTGTCATTTTTGAGCGACTCATTCAGATCTTTTTAATAGACTTTGAAGGATGCTCAACTTCAGTTGGAAGCCAGCAAGCAGCGCAATCGACTCTTGGAAGAAAAGGATGCAATCTTGGAGGCGAACAAACCTTCTTGCAAAGCCTCCAAGGCACCCTCCCAGCTTCTAGCATTTGACGAGGAAGTGAAGATGTTCGCTAAGAAGTATGGTGTTATGTATGAGATGTACCCACCCAGCGCTGAGCTACTAAAGAAGACTCTTCCCTCGACCCCTGGTTTGCCGTTTGACCGACTGGTTTGCTATGTGAACTCAGCTGCAGAAGCAGACACATTATTGTCCGAGCTACGTAGTGTGCTCCTGGATCACCTGCACCATCTTGTACCCTTAAATCATTTCCATAAGACTGTACGTATGTATATCATTGATTGATTTCGATATTTGCTAATCTACATCGTCCAGCTACAACAAGCACTTGAAGCAGGTCGGTCTTCCGAACTCATCAAGTTGTGACGAGTCACTGGTCGCATTTTTGGGCTAAGCTCTGATTACTTCGTCACGTCTTCAAAGTGAGACACCATCAACGAGCTTTGTAGGTTGCTAGGCACTACACCCGGAAGCCATACCTACCCTCTATTTCCTCCCATTCTCTTTCCAAACACCATCGTCGATACTAGCAATTCAACCATATTCGGTAACTGGAAGCCCTTGGCTCAGGTATGTTGCCATTTCTTCGTTTGTATACAGCTTATTGACAACAACTATGTCTTTTGAACAGATCCTGAAAGCGGTTTTAATGGGCAAAGCATCCCTTATGTCTGTCAAGAAGGGTGGGCCACCCAGGAACTTTCAGAATTGGGGAGTATCTGCCATAACGCCTGGAGCAATTGCGTGGAGCGCTACAATTGTAAGCGGTTTATTTTATCACTCCTGTCATCGCTGAGTACTCCTTATCCCAGGCTATTTTTCTTTTATTGCCAGATACAGTATTCTCTCAAGATGGCCATGGCAAAAGCTCAGGGATTCAGTATAAAAATCTATTCTACAGCTTCAAGAAGATTCTGGTGTGTTGTTGGGATGCTCCGTATCTCACGAAGATTAGACAACACATTGAGGGACATGTCTTTGGAGCTGCGAAGCTGCCCGTTGATGCACCCGATGGGGAAGACTTTACTGCGCAGATTGCCCTTGCAATGGCTGGCTTGCAATCCAACAACATTGACCATGATTTGGATTCTACCCCTGTGGGTGACTTTGCTCAGGGTACTGACATCACCCAGTCCACTCTGAATTCACCACTATCGACTCCAAGGTTATCCACGCGGACCACGCCTTCTGAAATATTACCTTCTGATGGTTCCAGTGCTCCTCCGATGCCACTGCCTGCTCCTGCAATCGCCAATCAGATTCAGAACTCGCTTGTTACTGATGGTGACACAGAGCTCGATGAAGGGGTTACTCAAACCGTAGATGCAGAGGGTCATACTCGAGGACAGAGGAAAAAGAAGGCTGTGGCAGTCTCTCGCAAGTCTGTCCGTCAGAAGAAGTGATATTCAATTGCTTCGCACAATGTATTAGTTAGTTGTTGTGTCATGTTCTACTTATTACATTGTCCAGTCAGACGCATTGCAATCGATTACATCAGCATTGCATAACTTGTTTGCTTTTTTCACTCTGTTGCCTGAACCAGACTGTCACTTAATACAACACCACCAGCACCTGGACCATGCGCAAACGCCCAATGCACGCCAGCAAGTGCTGACGTGGCACGAACACTTGCGGACGACACTAGGACGCCGAAGATGAGAAAAGGATGAGAGGCGGCACTTGTTCTCGCTCGCTCGCAGTGCATGTAGACTCGACGACTCTGAATCTGGATGGGGAGTCACAGTGAGTGAGTCTGTCGATCCTCCTTCGAGCTTGAGCCACACTGATCCAAGTTGTTCCCCACCGTTTGCAGTGAGTGAGTTTGTCAATCCTCCTTCGACTTGAGCCATGCTGATTGACGTTGTTGTCTACCGTTTGCAGTGAGTGAGTCTGTCGAGCTCGAGCCATGCTGATCCAAGTTGTTCCCCGCCGTTCGCAGTGTCTTGGTGAGTTTATCCTTTTTTACGATTATTTTTTTCATATTTTGACATGCCCCTCAGGCTGCTGGCTCAATTTTCAATCGACTACTACTGGCACAGGTTTCACCCTGAATCCTGGTTGCACAGTGACCTCATAACATATTACTGCTGATCTAGACATTTGACTACAGCTTGTTTCGAGTACTAGAATAATATTGTATTGATAGTAGCAGTCCAATGATAAAATTTATGAACACTGCCAATCGTGAATGAGTTACAATCTTGTCGCAATCACATTCGGAGTTTTGCAACAAGTCTCATGGGACTTGCAAATGCAATTTTAATAATTATTGTAGCAGATATTATGATGAGCTCCGCGACGTTCGAATAAGCTGCAAACAGGGAGTGCAAAGGTATCGCTATTCATTAAAATTTCTATTGCCAGCATTGTTACAAATCAAATTATAATAATAATGATAATTTTATTGTAATACGACTCTCTTATTACATCAGGATTAAAATAGTGCTGTTGAATTTGTCTATTTCAATCCATTATGATGGCTTAAAATGGATTTTTGAATTTTCCGACAGATGTGTGTTCTCTTCTTCAACTAAGTCAAGACCTTTGGAGAGAATTAAATTGCTTTTGTACTTATCATTCCAAGTTTGCATCAAAGATACTTACATTTGCCTCTGGTAATTTTTTAGAAGAAAAAGCAGAATAAAAGAATCAACAGTGACCATGCTATTGAAAGAACTGACAAAATGTAGATAAAATGTGCCTTGAGGATTCACTTCTGAATGAGTAGCCAAGCAGTTGATACAACAGAATCTAAATCTGTCTGTGTGGGTTCAAAACCTACTAAAGATCAAGTTGCAAAGTGATTATTAGAGTCAAAATCTGTTTGTCCTAGACTGTGTGGGTTTGAAACCTATCAATGATATATATATATATTTCACTTTCTATGAAAATACACCTTGACACATGCTTATGGTCGGTTTGCTTATTAAAAAGCTCCTCAAAGCTGTATTTGGCAAAGTGGTTGTCATAATAGAATCAAAATCTGTTTTCATTGGAATGCAACCTGTTGAATGTTGCTATTTTTTTCTATTAGAACATTCCTTGAATAATTGCTTGTAGACAGTATCTCAGACACTCATCTTCATTGGTCTTGGTCAAGTTGTCATCAGAGTCAAAATCTGTTTCTCTTGGACTTTGTGAGTTTCAAACCCGCCAATGATAACATTTTTATTCTATGAAATCATGCTTTGACATTGACTCATGCGTACTTTCCTGAGAGCTCCATCTCACTGGTCTTAGCCAAGTAGACATTGAAACAGAGTCAAAATCTATTAGGAGGGTAGTGTTGTATAAACTGAGCCTGAAAGTGAGTTGTAAATATGGATCCTATGAGCCTACAAAGATAGGGTGATGTGGAGCCCAGAGATGTTCTTGGACACAGAAAAGTGCATCCACAAACATCATATAAAGCAGATGTTTGGGAGCACGAGCTACAATGTGAAAGTACACATGAGTCAATGTTAAGGTCAGATTTCATAAAATAAAAATGTTATCATTGGCAGGTTTCAAACCTGCACAGTCCAAAAGAAACAGATTTTGACTCTGATGTTCACTTGCAATTGTATCTTTAGCAGGTTTTGAACCCACACAAACAGATTTGGATTCTGTCATATTAACTGCTTGGCTATAAGACCAGTTGGATGCACTCCTAATGAGCCCATTCAGAAGTGAATCCTCAAGGTACATTTTGTCAGTTCTAACATTAATTTCTAACATCCTCCTTGAGTCCAATCATGTGTGATCCTTCCATTGTCAGTTGTCACTCACGACTCAGTTGTTAATCCAAAAGACATCACAAACATCACCAGCCCACTGTGGTGGTCTGCCATCAGCAATTTTTCAGAGTAATTGCTAGATAAACAGGCCTAAGAATTAATCGTGGTGATCATACTATTGAAAGAACTGCCTTGAGGATTCACTTATCAATGGGTCCATTGGAAGTGCATCTCACTGTTCTTAGCCAAGCAGTTGATATGACGGAATCTAAATCTGTTTGCATGGGTTCAAAACCTGCTAAAGATGACATTGTCAGTCTTCAGAATCAATCCTAATACTTAAGAGAAAGACAAGAGATGAGACTCAAGTCAAACAGAGACAGGAATGAGCAGGGATCTAAGATGATATTTGAACTAAGGTGTTACAAAGAGTTGGAAAAAATCTGGTATTCAACAGGTTTTAAACTTGTTGCACTGCAATAGAAACAGAGTTTGACTCTGTTATGACAGCCACATGGCTAAACACAACTTTGATCATTTTGCGAGCAAACCGACTGTGAGCAAATTTCAAGGTGTGTTTTGATAGAAAATGAATTTTATCACTGGCAGGTTTCAAACCTGCACATTCCAAGAGAAACAGATTTTGACTCTGATGATCACTTGAAAATTTTTTCTTTAGCAGGTTTTGAACCCACACAGACAGATTTAGATTCTGTTGCATTGACTGGTTGACTAAGACCAGTTGAATGCACTTCCAATGAATCCATTCAAAAGTGAATCCTCAAGGCAGTTCTTTCAATAGTATGGTCACCATGATTGATTCTTTTATTCTACTCTTATTGCAAAAGACATCAGAATTCTTCTGGGGCTCTTGACTTCAAGACCTGTTTATCTAGCAATTGCTCTGAAAAAGTGCTGATGACAGACCACCATGGTGGGCCAATGATGTTTGTGATGTCTTTGGATTAACAGCTATGTCATGAGTGAGGACCAACAATGGAAGGATCACATATGATTGGACTTAAGGGGGATGTTAGAAAATTAATGTTAGAACTGATAAAATGCAGATAAATGTACCTTGAGGATTTGCTTCTGAATGGGCTCATTGGGAGTGCATTTAACTGGTCTTAGCCAAGCAGTTGATATGACAGAATCTAAATCTGTCTGTGTGGGTTCAAAACCTGCTAAAGATGAAATTGCAAGTGAACATTAGAGTCAAAGTCTGTTTCTCTTGGACAGCGCAGGTTTGAAACCTGCCAATGATGATATTTTTATTTTATGAAATCACACCACCAGTGAGATGGTGCTCTCGGGAAAGTACACATGAGTCCATGTCGAGGCTTTGGCATGTTCTAATAGAAAAAAAAATGCGACATTCAACAGGTTTCAAACCTATTATGTTCTAGTGGAAACAGATTTTGATTCTGTTATGACAACCACTTGGCCAAACACAACTCTGATGAGCTTTTAAGCAAACCAACCATAAGAATATATCAAGGTGCATTTTTATAGAAAATGAAAATTATCCTCAGCAGGTTTTAAACCTGCATAGTCTAAGAGAAACAGATTTTGACTCTGGCAATCACTTGGCTATTTAATATTTGGTAGGTTTTGAACCCACACAGACAGATTTAGATTCTGTTGTATCTACTTCTTGGCTAAATCCAGTGAGATGCACTTCCAATGAACTCATTCAGAAGTGAACCCTCAAGGCACAAAAGTTCAATGTATGACCAAAGTCTTGATGCAAACTCGGAATGATAAGTACAAGAACAATTTAATTCTCTCCAAAGATCTTGACTTGATTGAAGAAAAAGAGCAGATTACACATCAAACTTTCCAGTTTGATTCTAATGACCTGAGAAAGTTCTGAGATAAAGCAAAAGTATTTAGACAACAGTGCGACATTCTGCGCTGAGGTGCTTTTGAGCGCTCAGTGTCAAATAGCAGTTATAGCGGAAGTGCAGCCAATAGGCAAAGTATGTGAGTCGCTTCTGAATGGGTTCATTGGGAGCGCATCTAGCTGGTCTTAGCTAAGCAGTTGATATGACAGAATCTAAATCTGTCTGTGTGGGTTCAAAACCTGCTAAAGATAAATTTGCCAAGACATCATTAGAGTCAAAATCTGTTTCTCTTGGACTGTGCAGGTTTAAAACCTGCTACTGAGTGATAAAATTTATTTTCTATGAAAACACACCTTGAAATCTGCTCATGGTCGGTTTGCTTGCAAGCTGATCACAGTCGTGTTTAGCTAAGTGGCTGTCATAACAGAATCAAAATCTGTTTCCATCAGAGTGCAACAAGTTTGAAACTTGTTGAATGTTGCATTTGTGTCTCTAAGAATGTGTGTCTTGAATATTTGCTCATAGACGGCATCTCAGACA